ACGAACCTCTCCTGCACTGTACCATTAGCAAAAGCTGTACAATCTTTTGCCTTAAGCCTTTGCTTAAAATCCGTTGTCTCGTGATGATTGAGGATAATCTTCATTTTCGAGGTGCTTTGATTGGCAGAATGTAGGTGAAGTTCCTGATACTCCGTTTTGATTAACAAACGGCAGTGTGTAAAACTTCTCTATTCCTAATAACATTGGGAAACAACATCGCTTCCCACAATTTATTCAGCGAAATTCTAACCGAAATATGTTTTACGAAGACGCTACTATTATTTAAAAGCAGTAGTCATTTTAGAAGCATTTCAAATAGTGATATTATTTGTCAGTTATACGAGTAACAAATTTGGTGCTGACATATTTGTCTTTAACTAATGAAAAGTTGTGTAATTAATTCCTTTTTTGCCACGGAATAGTGCAGTCCGACCCAAAGAGGAGCAGCACTGCCTACGCTGCAAATCAACAACTTCAAGTCCACTCAGTTTATGGGCGCCAATTGAAATAGGAAGCCAAGTAAGCACCTTGGGAAACGTGAAGTTAACGCATTCTTCACTGGTGTGAGTTTGAATGTTTCCTTTGCGGACGAGTATATCGCCTGAGAATTGGACACTCCGTAAAGGCCTCTAACTGGATCATTCCCCAATCTCCTAAAGGCGCCATGGCTACTGTTACCCGTTGCCTCTTTTAATAAAATTTGCAAAACGATTGTTACACTCGTTACAGCTTCAAAATTACAATCCTTATCTCATTACGTTAATTCTAGCTTGATTTTGTTGACGCTCTTTAAACAAATTCGGAGCTCCGTAGGATGGAAGTTGATAGGTTGATGCGGCGATACCAAAACAAGATTAGTAGGTGCTAGCAGAGTTGTTTATGAATCGACTGCTTGAACAAATTCTTTTTGGCTCCACAGGCGATAGTTGTTGAGGTGCGCACCACAGTTAAAAGTGGAGGAGCAACTGAAAGAGTCAGCACCGCCAAACCATTGTGAGCGGTGGATTTTCGGACAAGATGGGTAGATGTGCCCCGACTGTAGTGACACATTTTATGGGTTTGATGGGGGATTTTTTAGTCATCAAGACAGTGCAATAAATCTTGGAGTCTTTTGCACTTCTCTTTGCATTTTTCGTTGCTTATTTATGCAAAAAGGTACGCGATTGCGGCTAAAAGCCATTCCCTGCGAGCAACAGTGGAGGCTCAAGTACAAATTGAGGGGCAAATATACTTTGCTAAGAGGGAAGCCTTTGCTGCCAACTTTGTTTAACACCATCAGTTTTTCTGGCATTGACGCTTTCACTATTCTTCTGTCCTATTGAAAAAAGCACGCCAAACTGGATTAAAATAACCTGCAATTTCGTATGGCACCCACAGGTTTTTCATGACTGTTTACGGGTTGTCTCAAACAACTACATTTTCCACCTTCATGTTCTATGCTTTAATTGTCTACAAAACAATGGATCATCTCGTGATAAACCTCGCCTAGGTCAACTAAATCCTTAAGACACCGCAAAAACTCTGCATCACGCCAGAAGTCATGCATAGCCTGAAAAAAAGGGGTGAAAAGGCAAGGAGATACGCGCATATTTCGTCATGGCGTGACGACGTGTGCCAACGCTTTCTGCCATCATCTGAGAAGCATTACGGTGCCGTTTCATCACTCTTGTGCTAATTACTAGCAAGCCACACCACACCACGCCTCGCCAAAGCCTTCCTCCCCTCGCATGACTTCGTTAGAATATCGTTTTAGAAAAAATTCCTAGCTGGTGACAGAGATTGCGAAGAGTAATGCCTTAGCTGATAATATAAAATCAGACGCATAGTGATTCGAGGAAACCGCCATAAAATTTCCTTTACTAGAAGTAATTAGAACTTTGAAAAGCGTGTCGTATTAAGGCATGTGTTGGGGTGTGGTGACGATGTGAAAAGACTTCCACTGATGACTTTTCCAGCATCTGATTACCAAAAGTTGTCGTTTGTCAAGGCCAAGGACATACCGAATGACGACGTCTCAAAAGCGTACGGCACGAAAGAATGGAAAAGCATTTTGGAAGCCGACAATGTCGCAATGATTATGAGAACTCAACAAAACGCTATGACTTAACTATAGCCAGCCTTGTAATGCGCCTTCATAGTCAAATTCAATGACACAACTCAACAACCAGCAGCCAAAGGCTCACAGCCGCCCGGGCTAAGTGAGAACCCAAAGGATTAGTGGCTATGCAGGATTACTATGACATTCTCTCTCCCGCTTACAAAAGTCATGAGATTGCTCACGGCTAACTGTCAGACAGCCTTGAATTGACCTAGGCTCTCAAATTGCTCACAATCATCATTGTGTTTCATCATCTTCTCGTTGTTTCGCCGTTTCAAGTGTGGCATCCTGGAATTCGGGGCAAGTCCTCGAGAAGTACATTTGAATGGAGTCACCACCTAATAACATACTTCTCCATTCGAGGGAGAATTGTGTGTTTATCAACCCTGGATGGACTTCGAATTTAAAGCATGGCATCACACTTTGCTGCCGAATGAGTTTTGAGGCAGCAAAGAGGGCTGAGATGGATGTGGAGAATGGTCAGTACAAGAAGGTCTCCCAGAACCTTCAGTCAAAATAGCGATAATCCAACCAGCTCTTTTTTTTAGTGCAGCACAAGGATAAAAATCTTGCCGCAAATGAGCTACCTAAACCAACTGCTTCTGTTACAACTCGCTAAACTTTCTTTATTTACATGCTCAAAGGCAGCCGATTGCCATGGATTTTACACGACTAAACTTGCATTGCGAGTACACATATTAACCTTTTTGTCTCCTTCGTCTGGCATTTTGGTTCATGAATGTAATGCTATAGTTGACTGTCCTTAAAATCGTCCTTATCTCCAGAAAGGTAAAAGCACACTCCACCGTTGTCATCGAGCAAGTTTTAGACCGTATTCGAAAGAATGACAAAGAGTAGTCCGAAGGAATGCCTTACACTTATGACAATTCCTTTTAGAATTTGCTTCACGTGAAAAATGGCCAGATTTTGGGTTTGTGAACAATTCCAACTTCTAATAACGTGGTGACATTGTGCTCTTTATAAAAAGCCAAATTATATGGTTTAGGCGTTACATTCATGCACTCAAAGATAAGTCGAGAAGATTGTGAGAATATGGACACTGCATTGTCAGTAATGCAGGAAAGTTAGGGATTCCTCGAGTTCTTAGGTAAGGGATTTTGATCTACTCAATCTTGGCGACAAGTGACACAATGTAAGCACAAACTACTTACAAAGTGCCCAGGAGACGCGTTTTGGCTTAAATGCACAAGATGATTCAAAGTAAAGGGATCCGTTACATTGTAATTTATTAACAACAAGGCAGCCTTGCACAGCATTTGAACTGCATTCGTCAATTTCATTTATGGTAGATCGACAGTATTCCCTTGTTTTGGACAACGTAGAAGGATCTGCAAAGCTGAGGTAGCAAATTGCAGACTTGCGAATATTGGGTGTAATGCTTTGTTTATGTGACTATCTGACTTCCGGCGGTCACTATAAGATTTATGGACTGGCCTTCGGGTCATAGTCAGGCCTATTTGCTCTGTCCTCTTTGGAATACATATATCAGGCCTCACTTACTGCCTTCTTTCACTCAGTGGGAAGTCCCGGGACGCCACACCGGTGGCATCTGAAACCGAACCCGACATGTTTTAAACGACTTCTATCCCAGCACGTACCGTTTGTTGCATGTACCTACGATGCGGAGGAGACGCATTCACCTCGGTGACGGAGAATCTCTGAATTCATCACAATGAAGGGGTTGAGGCTGAGGTCTGCATTTGGCTTCACCTTATTCCTGTGTACCACAGACAAGGTATTAACAACTGAAGTGACACCACCGTGAACCATCTGGAGAAGTTTCGCGTCGGAATTTCCCCTACCTAATCCGTGCATAGGTATCGGAAATGACACTACGGTTCCCTTTATAGGAGAGACAGTAGCTCATCCCGTTTTCTCCATAACATATATATATTTGATCCAAGTTCAACTATCTATTCCTGGTAGCAATTGATGGTCAACGGGTGTACGCGGCCCGAATCTGGTTGTCAGACCGGGCGTAACTCTAGATCCAGTCGAAGCTGCCGAGAAGACCAGGTACGGTTTCTCAGTCTCATGCCATCTGTCAATCGGTGCAGATGGCTCGTGGGTGCTTTCTTGCAGTACCGAATATGTTGTGATGGCTGGCGAGGGAGGTGTACCAAGGGGAGCGCCGAGAACATAGCTCAAAAGAAGAGAAGAATAGTGTAATGCTCTATTTATGTGACTACCTTACGTTCGACGGTCGCTATAAGACTTCGAGCCATACCCAGGCCTATTTACACTGTCCTCTTTAAAATACATGTATCCGACTTCACTTACTGCCTTCTTTCGACCGGTGGGAAGTCCCGGGACGCTACACTATAAACGCAATAACGCCATCTCCAAAAATAGGTCTGCACGATCATCACTCATTTGAGGTGAGTCAGGCATCACTACTTGCGACAGTCCCATATTGTATCGATCCCCCGCACTTGATATCCTACAAAATCCGCTTAGTGTCTGGGCCCTTTAAACCTAAATGGTAAACTTATTCCCCTGTCAGTGATTTCCCACTGCTGTCTAGAAGATTCAATGCTGTACAAAGAGAGACGACCCCGATTAGGTGGAACCGATACAACCTGTAACCACTTAACAGAGTAAAACCAAGGTTGCTGAGCCAAAAATGCAATTTTTATCACTTACAACCTTCAGGAATTAATTTGTACTGCCTAGATTTCATACCGCGCGCCCAACTAAACCAAAGTCTCTCAAATACGAAGAAATCTAGGATAATTAAATAACATATTATTCTTTTAACTTTAAAGCAAAAATTCAAAAAATAAATATTCTTGCAAAGATTTTACCCTCAGCAAATTGCGCTGTAATCAAACATATATAATGCGTTATCACTTTAGCTTCAACCAGACTGCAATAGGTACATATGTCGACTCCAATTGAAGTCGGGTGTCCAGGAGGCCTAGAATGGGCTTGGTATGGTCTTGGTGAGTGTATAAGGACTCCTCGAGACAAAGTTTCCATTGCTTTCGGTGTTTTGAGCATCGCCGCATGGTTTATGTTCGGATTCCCACAAATCTACGAAAATTGTGTCAGAAAAATTCCAGATTCTGCAGTTTCCTTCTTCCTACTTCTATTTTGGTTGTTGGGCGATACTCTCAACTTCATCGGCGGATTTTTAACAAATCAACTCTTTTTGCAGGTACGTCGAATAAATGTGCCTTCGCAATTGTTTTATAAGGCTAGTTTTTAATTATTCTTTTAGGTGTGGTTGTTATCAAAGTGCACATATTTTTCTTGCTACATATGGTTATAGAATAACTCAATTTTTTGTAGAAATTTCTCGCTGGTTATACCGTCTTCATCGACATAATTCTTTGGGTGCAGTACATCTACTACCTGTGCCTCCACAAAAATCGTTAGTCAGCTAATTTTAATGCACTTAAAAAATGTACGAAATTTGGGTTTCTTACACTTAGGATCATGTTTATTAGTTTTTTAAAGTATTGAATTCTTTAGTTGAATTCCTGGTTTTAACATTTTTTTAGGCAATGAGAAAGTAGAAGAAGACGAAGAAGAAAAAGTACCGAAGTCTCCGAGCGTTTCAACAGTTGGCAAAACTTTGGCTACTGCACTCCTTGGTGTTTTGACACTAAGCTTCCTTCCGGTGTCGTTGACTAGCGGAGAATCTGCTTCTGGCTTTTCTGCTCAAACCCAACGCCGTCTTTTTCAGTCATCCACTACTGCTTCCCCAGACCCATGGGCCGAATTTTTGCCCGTAAGCTGAGTCAAAATAGCTGGAATCTGTTAATTAAACTTTCATTAAAGTACGATCTATGGATTTTTAAATTCGTACCCTGTTATGATTTTTAGTCAGTTGGTGCGAAGGTTGGTTACGCCTTCGGCTGGATGAGCGCCATCATGTACGCCTTGGGTCGAGTACACCAAATCTTCATGAATGTGAGTTAATGATGTTCACATTGTTAGGCTTTATGGGCTTTCAAAGATGAGATCGCAAAGCTGAGCTTGCACTATACTGTTAAGGGTGTTTACTTTAACGCTGAGATATTATGGTGGCCCTATGTTAAGGACGTCTCAAATGGTATATTAGGAGCTTACGATACTACAATTGTTTGTTTTATAATGAGAAGACTAATATGTGCCTTATTGTTTATTTTAGTGGAGGCGAAAGTGCACTGAAGGCCTCAGTTTTTACTTATTCTTCCTTGCTGTTCTGGGCAACACGTTTTATGCGTGTCAAATATTCATCAAATCCATCGATGTCGTCTTCATTGTTACATCTCTGCCATGGATTCTCGGCAGTATGGGCATACTTCTCTTTGATTTAGTAGTAAGTTGGTCTTTTTGATTTGTTTTTTCATGCCCCTGACATGAAAGCAATTGTTCCGGAGTTTGGTCATTTAAAAATGTCAGAATTCTTTTAAAGATAGAATCTTAGACGTGCGTTTCATTTTCAACCTGTCTAAGTGTAAAGTTTTGCAGAAAGTCCTCCCCATTGCGAAGGCTGGTCTTTAATCCTTGTAACTACATAATATATATGCATAATATAATTTTCGTTAAAATTTATGAGTGAACCTCCCTACTTGCCGAATTTATTTTTGCTAATAAAAATATTTGGTTAATTCTAGATTCTAATACAGTTTTTCATGTATCGTCACAATCACATAGACGTTGACAACGAAGAGCTTGAATTCACTTCTGAAGATGATTATGAAAGCGCACGACATCAGTTCTGACACACAATTATCCATCTTTTTGATATACTTGTACAAATATAAATGAAATTTATTCCGCCCAACTGCTTCTAAAATGTAATCGAATGGGAATTAGTGGATAGTGATGAAAGGCTTGTTCACTAGGCCATCAGCAATCTTTTTTGCCCCACAGTAGTGTTAACAGCACAAGTTAGGAGGCAGAGTCATGCACACACGTTTTACTAATTTGTTGAACAGTGAAGCGCGAGGTAAGTGAAGAGCGGAGGACTTGTACAGGTGCCAAAACGTTCTCTCTAAAGTGGTGTCACATAAATAGCGCCGTTGTCAGCATCATCCATCCAGTTGATTGACCAGGATCTGCATCAGTTTCATCTTCAAAGTTGATCAACTACAGACTTGGTTTTTAGGAAATTAGTTATTATTGACGGGGTGGATTACAGGGTATGCTATGGGGAGTGAGCTTGGGCAAGAGCAATGGCAACACAAAGTGCTTCTTTTCTTTACCCTTCTTGCTTCATCTACCTTAAATGTTGTGATCTCCACCTGCAGTGAGCAACCTAACTGCCTGGACTTACTTCTCTGTGACAGTGGAGATACGATGATAGGATTTTCGTTGACTTTTCCAGACCCATTTGATCCCCCTTACAGTTTTTTTAGCAAAATCTGAAACAGACATTGGGCCTTGTATTACAACCAAACCACAAGTTCCTCATCACGTTATTTGGATGGTGCGCCTGTTGGGCCGCAGACCACGCGACGCGGGTGTGGGAGCACTCAGTGGAACTGCACATCGCCACACACACAAAAAGTCAACACCAACTTTAGTTATCACACTTTAAAAAGTGTATATCAGAGAACTTAACTACAAATGTCCTGACTATTTTCTAATCTTGAAAATTTTCAATTCATTTTCAAAGGATATACATGCATTGTGTTGATGAAATGTCATGGCAAAACGGAACTGTCTGTCTGTGTGTGTATGTGGCTGATGTGCAATTCACTAATCAACGACCCATTCTTGTGAGTGCCTGTGGAGGTCTTGTGTATCACGTGTTTAAAGACAATGAGACTCAGGTAAGTCAGCGCTCCAAATTACTGACATTATAAGAGACTTGCAGTGGGTTGTGGCAACGGGTGCATCTCTTAGGATGCAATTTCAATGCAAACATCGAGTAATGCGATTATCGTAATATGTACAGTCTTTTATCAATCTTGCCAATTTGATGAACAATAGCGGCGTCAATCGGTCCTCACCCCTAGCCGCCCTTTGTGGTGAAGAACTGCACTGACGCACATGTGGATTTGCAGTCGAAATTAGCACCACTCCTCTAATGTAATTTGGTTTTAAGACAAAACTACACGACACAAAGCTCATTTTGCCTCTCTTTTAGTTTAACTAAAATCGTTTTCCATTGCACGCTGATCCTGGTAAATGGCTTAGAGCTGAAGTGGAATTCAGGTAAGTGTTCAAAGTGTGGTTCGCCATTTATTGTGGGTCATAGGAGTGCGTAAACCAAAGCAAGTGATGTTCTAACACGTAAAAAAACGCGAAACTCATTTTCTAATACATACAACCTAAATTTGCTTTCGATTTCAAAAATTGACCTCAACAAGAAGGAAACTGCTAAACTGATTTACAGGAAGTGGAAATGTCGTATGTTGCAACAGAATTGTGGAGGAAAAAAGCGCATAAAATAAGGAGGATTTTGCATTGTAAGTCACCGGTGTATGCGACGTGCACGCCTGTTGAACCAGCAAACGCAGCCCCTCATGAGTCTCTTCTCCTCATTCGAGGAAGGTGGAATGCCATTACTCGGTTTTAATCGCCTATTTTCACGACAATGAACTCTTCGTCTCACAATACCATTGAAGGTGAAAGCAACAAAAAAGAGAAGAATGACGTAAGGCACAATTCATCAAAGATCGCATCTGCATACTTTATGGACACACATGATGTGGATAACTTCTTCGAGATATTTCTGGGAGAGGCACTTGGAACTGCGCTTTGCCTGCATGAAACGAGCGGTGTCAACCACAGGGGTCAGCTGTCGCAATAGCGACTTCCGGATCAGCGCAAGATTGTCCATGCATTTACATTACGTGGGATTTTGATGGCAACTTCTTTGCTCTCTCATCCGCTCTCTCTCTCCCTCTCAGCCACACCCCTCTTGATTGCACCATTCATTAGCACTTTTCTGTAAAATATGCATTTCAATCATTGCAATCTAGCTGGCTTTCCTTTAACCAAAAAATTAGTCTAATTTGAAGCGCATTTTCCATGAAATGTGGACCTTTCTGGCATAGACTATGAAGTGGGAATTTTTGTACTGCGAGGAAATTGCTTCACCCTCGCATTGAGACAAAGTCATAAAGTTGAATCTGTCAGTCTCAAAGCGGATTTTATTCCCCAACCAGTTGAAAGGCTCCATTGGTTGGGCTGCATTGCAATGAATAAAGTGAAATTATGGTGAACGGAATGATGTCCAATTCATAAAGACTTAACAACCGTATACGTTTGGTCACACAGATGTGGTGGTCGACAAACTCACCACCTTAAAATTTATTAATTAATCACTTTTTCTTATTTGAAATACAAGTGCATGTGCATTGGTGGATGCGTGCGAGCACATTCTGGCGCGCTGAATGGGAGAGCTTCTACAAAGTGCGATTCCACAGGCTCATGTCTGCATCCTCCGCCTCTAGTAATTACTCACACTTCTGGTTGTTTTAAACCCACAATTAGGTAATTTACAAGGTCTTTGCATCATAGACGAACACCGTTGTGCAGAAGGCAGAGAAAGCGTTGATTTGAAAGCATACAACTGCACCTGACTCAGATAATTGAAGCACAATGCACCTTGTTCAGCGGTTAGGAGCACGATTAAGTCTGTTGAGACTCAAAATCTGTCGTAAAATGTAAAATGCAAATGTCAAAAAACTTCAAAGAGTCGTCTGTCAACAGATTTTGAAGACTTATAACGAATCAAAATGCGTTTGAAAGAACAAAATGAGTCCTCTTTTTTACGGGCATCAGACGATTAAACTTCATCACTGTGATGCATTCTAATGGTGCTCCATAAAGGCGGTTTCAGGTAAGTGACTGAATAAATTGGCACACTAATTTTATTAAAAAATCAGAGATTAGACTTTGTAATTTCGCCAATTATTCACACGGTTTTTTCTATCCCGCTTTTGTTGATTCCTTCCAAGTATCGGTTCAACCGAAGGTGATTCAAAATGAAAGGTTTCATCTTGCCTGGACTTCATAAACGCTGTCAACACTCAAGCCTCGAAGCAGATGCCCCTTTAGCAGGACGAAATTCGTGGCCAAGGCGTAGTACTTGCGATTCAAAAGGCAAATTGAAGTGCATAACGCTACTCAAACTCAAGTCAAATAAATAGCGCCACGAGGCTCCGCCTCTTTTGCCCAATGCATCCGACACATCGTTGCACATCCACTGAACCAAAATACGTGTGTGAGGCACTCGACAGGCATCAAACATTGTCAAAACATTTCAAATTAAAGGCGCTTAATAAGTACGGCTCTGTGCTCGCTCTGTTGAGCTGTGCGTCGTATCTTGGTGGGTGTCCAAGTACGCCTGCAATTATGGAGGACCCTCGCGTGCTAGCCCATGGATAGCATCCAACAGAAGTTGAAGGATTTTTAGCATTTTTGCCTTTCAGCTAAAGTTACTTAGGTTTTGTTGCGAATTTCCGAACAACAATTAAGTCGATTTGCATGTTTTAGACTGTTAGGTGACAAATCAGTTTAAAAAGATCACTTAACATGACAGACAAGTTACTAGCTTTTAAAAAATTTGCTCATTCATAAAGAGGAGTAAGGGAAGGATCCAAGGCTGTCCACTTAAATGCAATCCTTAATATCGTAATACTTTCTTTATTTGGATGCGCGACTTCAACACATTTTCTCACTGAGGTCCGGCAAGGATTGAACATAGAAAAATGCCTTCGAAATGGGCAACATCATTTTAGCCTTCAAGAGAAATGGCCTGTGAAAAAGAAAGTATTGCTTACTTTCATTCAGTAAATGCTACTGTGTTCGTTTAGTAGCGTCATTTCCAATCCTCAACACCTACATAGAACATTTGCGTGTATTAAATCGCACTTTGGATAGAGGACATAAATCGTGACAGACAATCTCTAACTCTTATCATAGTTTCGCCTAAGCTTAATTTGGAGCCGAATGCTTCTGTTGCCCGGATTAAAGCCTTCGTGTTGACAGCGAAGGTGTCCATCATTCTTATTATTCACATTGGTAATAACTTTTTGTCCTTTCCTTTATCAAGGTAGCTAATGTTTATTGATTAGAACGAATGCGTGTACTTTGGAATCAATTATACACGCTCAAACTTCTTCTCGGTTGTTTACTGAAAGTCAAACTGCAAAAGAGCGTACATTCAAATGTAAAAGTAAGCTAATGCTTCTACTAAATACTTAAAAGTAGTATTTTTTTACTTACAAAGTGTATCATTGGGAGATATTTACTTGTTATTAACCAATTGCGCTTAAAGGCATACAGCCCCATTTATCCCAACTCGCGCAATCTTTAAGATGTCTACTTTCCTCTATGCGTTGTTTTTAGGAAGGAGTAGACCCAAAGTGCAATACTTTGTAGCCTTTCATGTTAATTGCTCTCAAGTTTTCAGACTGCAGCTGCGTAAAATGGCCATCTCTTTGATAGAGTCGTGGCTAAAGGAAGCTACCATCATTTTGAGTTTCTGAGCCAATGAAATATTCAAATCAAACAACCTTGGGAAGCAAGAGTGCAGTAAATTTCTCTGCTATTTTAGTAGTACGCTAAATTTCTCTGATAGTGAATAATATTTATCCATACTAAGATGGCCACCTGGTATTTCTCCTGCTCTTTCACTTTTCCAACTCCTTGCCAAAGTTTTTATCGCACTTTATTCACAGTTGCTTTCTAAGATAGGAGGTTTCATTTATGGAGAAGTAGGTGGAATCACCCAATCACGAAACGCTTTATGGGGGTGTAATTTAGG